CTCTATGGACTTGGGGGTTGAAGTTAGGTACAACATTAGAGGCACCCCGGGCTGCGGGGCTATCATGGTCTGAGGCGAGGTCAAGGCCGCCTTGATTCTCTCAAAGGCCTTTTGGTGCTCCTGGTTCCACTCGAACTTGGCATCTCCTTTTAACAATGAACCGAAATGGGCAGAGATCTCTGCAAGTGCTGGGATAAACCTCCGAATATAAGACACCCAAAATCTATGACTCCAATGACACACATTTTTTCTTTTAACAGATTAGAGGTTGAAGCCGTGTGCACATTGGTTGTTATTGCAGAGCCAATCAACGCAATTTCCTTAGAAACCCAGACTTTCCGGAGCTCTGTTTCACCAGATAACACCAACGTCGGCATCTCTGTAACACCGCTGCTGCTTCTGGCTTTCTAGAGCCACTAACGGCGTCGTCTCCGTGACATCACCTGTGACGCGTACCTCGACTGCTCAACGTCGTTCACTATTGCCTTCACTCTGCTGGAACTCCGCCGTCGGCTTCAACTATTCCAACGCAGGCCACACACGTTGCCCACTCAACGTGACGTGTGTGGTTGCCGACTCCTCTGTGGTGCCACTGTTACTTCCGTCTTCGGACTATCCAGCGCCGACCACACACGTGCGCCCACTCAACGCGACGTGTGTGGTCTTGCTTAGCGCCTGCTCAACTCGGCGTCGGCCTTAGGTGTATCTGTCTCGCGTTTGTGGTCTCGCCACTACTTCCAGCCGTGCTCTTCCTCCATTGGCTTGAATCTGTGAGCAAGTTCTTTTAATTGTTTTGTTTATTTATTTATTTTATTTATATATATGTTCTTTGTGTGGTGGCATATATATATATATATATATATATTTTTTTTTTTTCCCTCCTAAGGAAACCTTAAAGAAATAACAAGGGAAAAAAATTGAGATCGCTTTGCATTCTGATGTACCAAAATAAAAAGTAAAAAAGACAACAACTTGGATGTTGACCCAGCACCATACCACAACACTCCTCCTTTACATGGGCTTGAAAATAGTTGTATGAATATAAGACACAAAACAGAAATGTGTGAAGAGTTGGAATTACCCAATATTGGGTATTGAATATACATTTTATAGATGATGCAATAATTTGCAAACTTTGGAATCAGTTTTTTTGTTGAACTTACAAACCTCTAAGTATTTGTAAGGCAAATGCTTTGGGGAAATCAGAAGAGCTTCAATATTATCACCACCAATCACTTTTATCCTACCATCCCTGCATGGGTTTCAAGGAAAAAATAAATAAAACATTGGAAGTGATAGAAATACCATATTGTGCCATATATTGTCCATCTCTAGTCACCGACTAGCATGTCGGCCCTTGCTTAAATTTCTACTTACAGTGTTCCAATGGCCAATAGGCTCTGAATGGGGTCAAACGCAAGAACTGATGCAGTAGATGGGATACCATAATGAATAGCAATTTGCACATCCAAGTTTGGTAACATCACATTGCTATGCACATTTTTCTGAATCAAGAAAACATAAAAAGATATTTCACTGCAATCAATTAAGGATTGGAGAAAACTAAAATTGAAAAGCCATTTGTTGCTACTCTGTATGAATTTTTTCATAGCAACGGACGATAATAGAAAGTTAAAATAGTATTTCAACAGGAGATAATACAAACTTTGGAAACATGATCACAAATATATAAATAAACATATACAATGTCGTAAAACAATAAAAAAGAACCGAATAATGAAGATATATACATTGATCAATAGATAATCCGATTCGAATTAAACCAGTTGATAGCACTTAAATTAGCTTTAGAACTCAAATTCAAAGTATTCATCAGCAATTTCAACTAAAATTTTGTTCATGTTAGATACTATATACCAGTTGATAACACTTAAATTAGCTCTAGAAATTTAAATTCAAATCATTCATCAATTCACCAACGATTTCGGCTTCCAATTGCGATTATTTTTAGTTTCAAAACCAAAATTGCTCTTTTAATTTGCTAAGGAGTGATCCTTCAATGAGTGAACTACAATTGAAAAACTGAAACCCTATATATCATCGTCATTCATAAGGATTGGAGAAAACTAAAATGTGAAGCCATTTGTTGCGACTCCATATGAATTGCAACGGACAACATAGCAAATTAAAGTAGTATTTCAACAGGAAAAAATACATACTTTGGGAACATGATCATAAATATATACATAAACATATACAGTGTCTCAAAACAATAAAAAAAAAAAAAAAAAACTGAATAATGAAATATAAAACACGTAATGAAGATATATTATACACATTGATCAATAGATAACTAACGAACCAGTAAAATTTTGTTCCGATTCAAATTAAACCAGTTGATAACTCTTAAATTAGCTGTAGAATTTAAATTCAAAGTATTCATCAGCAATTTCAACTAAAATTTTGTTCATGTTAGATACTATATACCAGTTGATAACACTTAAATTAGCTCTAGAAATTTAAATTCAAATCATTCATCAATTCACCAACGATTTCGGCTTCCAATTGCGATTATTTTTAGTTTCAAAACCAAAATTGCTCTTTTAATTTGCTAAGGAGTGATCCTTCAATGAGTGAACTACAATTGAAAAACTGAAACCCTATATATCATCGTCATTCATAAGGATTGGAGAAAACTAAAATGTGAAGCCATTTGTTGCGACTCCATATGAATTGCAACGGACAACATAGCAAATTAAAGTAGTATTTCAACAGGAAAAAATACATACTTTGGGAACATGATCATAAATATATACATAAACATATACAGTGTCTCAAAACAATAAAAAAAAAAAAAAAAAACTGAATAATGAAATATAAAACACGTAATGAAGATATATTATACACATTGATCAATAGATAACTAACGAACCAGTAAAATTTTGTTCCGATTCAAATTAAACCAGTTGATAACTCTTAAATTAGCTGTAGAATTTAAATTCAAAGTATTCATCAGCAATTTCAACTAAAATTTTGTTCATGTTAGATACTATAAACCAGTCGATAACACTTAAATTGGCTCTAGAAATTCAAAATCAAATCATTCATCAACGATTAGTTTCAAAACCAAAATTGCTCTTTTAATTTGCTAAGGAGTGATCCTTCAATGAGTGAACTACAATTGAAAAACTGAAACCCTATATATCATCGTCATTCATAATTGATCATGTAGCGAATTTGAAATCAATTAGCAATGAAAAAGATTGAGATGAAGAGCTCTGAGTTCCGATCTGTGAAAGAAAAACATTACCTGAGAATGATGTGCAGCTTTCTGCAACAGACGCTTCGCAAACATGGCGATTTTGCTGAGAATTCGAAGCTGGGAATTTCAAATCAAACGATCAAACCTTCGTTTTTGTTGTTTACTGAATTTGACGACTTTTGTTTTTTTGGTGCATACAACATTTCTCGAATTGCACGTTAATTTGGGAAATTCAACGGCTCGCTGGTTCGAGTCCACGTGTTGCTATGGCCCACTGCAATAAAATGGCCCACTATAATAATTTTCAAATTTTATTTAAAAAATAGGCACCCATCGACTGCCACAATGTATATTATGCCTTGTTATTTTATTATTTTTTAATTTTTACTTAATTAGCGGTGGATTTAGGGATGGCAATGGATAACCTATCCTGTGAATATCCATGGAGATCCAACCCAAATACATGGGTTTTTCCCTATTTTTCTTATCCATTGGGTAGGGTAAGTGATATTCTTTAAATATCCACAGGGGATGAGTTGGGGATGGGTACCCACTAATTTCCCCATATATATATATATATATATATATATATTTTAAAGATTCACAACTAAAACTAAATATACATTCAGTCTTTTTTCTTTTTTTTTTATTTATTTTTTCAGGTTCACAACCATTTTTTTTTTTTAAGATTCACAATCAAAGCTAAATATATATTCAATCTTATTTTATTTTATTTGGCTCAACAATAAAATCAAATACACATTAATTAACATTGTCACATTATTCTTGTCAAATTTTATGCATATCTAGAATTTTTTAAATTTATTTAAAAAAAATTAAGGACATTGTCTAGTGTAGGTTTCGGTTTGCTTTTCTATGTTATTTTATTTTGTTGTGTATTGTAATTTTCAGAATGGTTTGCTTGTTCTGAAATTTCAATTAACGAGTATGAATCTATAGTGGCAGATATGTAAAGACGGGGTTTACATACCATTTCTTGCGCATTACGGTTCGAACACTCGAACATTTTCATTCAACGTCACACCAGAGACATCATCACCCTCAACAGAAGCTTGTGTGAGTTGTGTGGGAATTGAAGCAACAATCCCCTTTTTTTCAAACCCAATCAAGATTATTGCAGAACAAGTTCCACATCGCACTTTCTCTCGATTCTTCCCCATCACCACAAGTTTTCTTGGAAATTTCAGTAACTCAAAGCAACTGTAGCATGTAAAAAATGGGGCACCACCTGCTATGGGATGACAAACCCGTTCACTTCCATGGGCAACCACCACCCTTCTTGAATGCCGGTGACCAGGACCATTGTCTAAATCGAAGTCACTTGAACTTCTTGTCTGAGGTTTCCGAATGAGAGAGCGCAGATGAGGAGGATAAGCAACTCTAGAATTATAGTCCTGTGGGCCATATACAACAGAATTTACACGATGGTGGAACATAGGATTGGGGTGTGGGACTTTTGGTGGCATTTGCCAATTCTTGTTGTTGCACTGCAAACAAGAGCATGTAGAGTGGTGCAAAAAGGTTTTCTGTCGATGTGATGCAAGGGTATTTTGATTAAAATCCACATGCTGTCCAGGGAAATGATCGTTCAAATAGGCTCTTATAACATTGTAATCAGGTTCTTATAACATGTAGGGGAGAGAGTGAGAGTGAGAGTGAGAGAGAGAGAGATGGTTGTAATTTTTTTTTAATCTTCCACGTTCTTCCACATTTTTTTTTTCAATTACTAAAACTTATTTGATTGTCTCAAAATTATATATTTGATTATTATAAAACAAATTTTTTAATTAATTAATTAATGTGTATTTGATTTTGTTGTTGAACTAAATAAAATAAAATAATATTGAATGTATATTTAGCTTTTGTTGTGAACCTTAAAAGAATAAAAAATAAATAAATAAATAAGTTGTTAACATTAAATATATTTAAAAATAAAGAAAAAAGATTGAAGGTATATTTAGCTAAAACCTTTATAAAAAAAAAGTTGTTAACATTAAATATATTAAAAAAGAAAGAAAAAAAATTGAAGGTATATTTAATTTTTGTTGTGAACCTTAAAAAAAAAAAATTGTTAACATTAAATATGTTAAAAAAGAAAGAAAAAAGATTGAAGGTATATTTAGTTTTTGTTGTGAACCTTAAAAAAAAAAAAAAAAAATTGGTTGTTAACATTAAATATAAAAAATAAAAATGAGGATTAAAGTAGGTTGGGGAAAATCCATACCCATTAAAAAATGGAGAGGGTGGTATCCATGGGGCATGGAGAATGGGGAATGGAGAAAATTTATTATAGGGGAATGGGGATGGAAAATTAATATCCACCCCATTGCCCCCCATTGCCATTCCTACCGATAAGGCCTTCAATTTACAGTTTAAAGCATAAAACATGAACAGATAATTTAACAGTCAACAGATAGAATTGCATTTAAACCAGCGCAATCAATCAATCAATCAGTTTAGTAATTCAGTCAATCAGTCAGTTAACATGCTTAATTATGGATTAGCACTAATCAGTGGTGAGGGTTGTCACAAATACATAACCACATTGACCTATTCTTTTTCTTCGCAAAGAGAGTCAACGCTACCCAAGGCGATCTACTAGGACGAATGAAGCCCTTGTCTAAAAGTTCTTGGAGTTGGATCTTCCACTCATGCAATTCGGCGGGTGCAAATTGATACGGTGACATGGAAATCGGTGCCGTGTCAAGCACTAATTCAATAGAGAACTCAATCTCCCGATGAGGTGGTAAACTAGTAAGATCTTCTGGAAAGACATCCGGGTATTCACAAACTACCGTTGATAACTCAACTTGAGCCCCGTCACTCTCACTATCCCAGAGAGTTGCAAGAAGGCCACTAAGCTTGCTCCTGCTACGAGGGTCAACAACTGGCAACAAGGCTCTATCAACTCGGTTCCCCAGAAAATAGAAACGATCACCACCCAAAGTGCACACTGTAACTCTCTAACGGTAGCAATCAATCACAACTTGATAAGAACACAACCAGTCCATGCCTAAAATGACATCAAAACTTAACATATTTAGCAACACAAAAGTAAACGGAAGTCAACGCCCGACAACTTCTATTTCACAATCACGACAACCCCGGTCTAAATCAACTGTATCCCTAATAGGTGACTCTACTCTGAGTTGAGGCACTAACCGTGCTACCTCTAACCCCAATGCAGAAGCAAATGCAGTAGATATAAATGAATGAGACGCACTCGTATCTATCAATACATTAGCCAAAGAATTACACACAACAAAAATACCTCTCACAACTGAGGATTCTGGCAACTGCTCTGGCATGGTAACAACATACACGTGCCCCTAAGGCCCCTAATTGACTTGCTCCCCTCTTAGAGCATAGGCCTGTTGTACTGACTGAGTTGAAGCGGCTCCCTGATTAACTCATGAAGCTTGGACTGATTGAGCCTGCTGGTGGCTCTGAGTCTGCCTCGACCTTGATGCGCCAGATATGCCTCCCAACTGTGGACAAGTTCTCTTCATATGCCTCGGCCGACCACACTGATAGCAATTAAACCCTTGACCTTTATTCTTAGACTGAGACTGACTTTGAGACCGATTAGGTAGTGGTACTATTAACTGCCCTCCTCCCTTCTATGGGCATGAGAAGGCTTTGTGATCCAATTGGCCACACTTGAAACACGAGAAGCTACTCGATGCACTTTTTCCCTGACCCGCACCAGGCAAAGGAAAAGTGAATCTAGACTGCTATGGTTGGGACTAGGATAGATAGGTGTTCTTGCTCTTCTTGTTCTGCCTATAGTCTCTTTGAGACTCTTAGCCCCTTGACCTCGAACTCCGAAGCCTCTCCTCCTCAGCTTGTATGGAAATTTCTATGTGTGTCGTCGTCTCCACAAGACAGTCATATTCCCGAATCATATTTCCGACAAGCTTGAAAAGAATTTTTGTTTTCAATTTCTTTTCAAATTCAATACAACGGCGTTCTTCCGTTGCCACAAACTCTAGCGCAAATCTAGACAAACTAGAGAAGACCGCCTCAAACTCGCCCATGGGCATGTCGAGTTGTTTGAGGTCTTTAAACTCTTGCCTCAATCTCTCCCTAGCAGTGAGAGGTATGTACTTATCTTGGAAAGCAACCACAAAGGCTTCTCATGTCGGCTCCACTCTACCCTTGGGATATTTCCACCATTGACCCGCGTCTCCCTTAAGGTAGTAACTTGCTAGAGTCACTCTTAGTTCACTATCTTTGACGTGAAGCATCTGAAATGTCTTCACAGTCCGCTCATCCACTTTCTTGGGCTCGGGACCACCATGGAACTCATCCAGTTTGGCCCGCAAGAACTCTCTAGTAAGGAAACTCTCCCTTGACTCCGCGGTGTTCTCTCGAGCTTGATTCTCCACCCTTAACAGGTTCATAGACTCTCTTAAAGCCCCTGTCATTTCTTGAGCTAGGGCCCCCATTGCAGTTTGACCCGCTTGTCCCGAGATTCCCGCTTGCCCCACTTGTTCGGCCACATTAGCTTGGCTGGACTCTTCCTCTTGTGCCGGTACCTCATGCAGACCTCGGCGAGCCCTACCACGCCTCCCGCCTTTACCACTACGGCTTTAACCTCTTCCTGACATTCTATAAATAACAATAGAATTAATTTAGCACACTAATCCACACATGCCGGCAGCTTGCCTTACATGTTTGATCACAATAATGCTATATATTCCTCTACCATATAACAATTAAATTTCACCCCGCATAAGCACTTAGTCATGTAAACAAATACGAATTATACTCTTATGATGAGATTCGTCCCACGAAAAACCAAGAATTCTTAGTAGAATGAGTATTGATCAAGCACCCTTCTAATAAGACCTTAAGGAATTTAACAAGCGCAAACAATGTAGCGATCCCGGTTTTGACCGTCTCTTGTGATGTCTCGGACTCGAGTTTGTATGGTTTGAATGATAGTTCATGTCATGTTTCCCTTGTCTTCCCGTCATTGTTGGTTATTGGGTTGTAGTTGTGTGTTTAGAAAAGGTTGGTTGTTTGTTTTTCCAAACTTTTAGTTGCCCAGAATTTGGCTCTTCCGCTCGAACGAAGCTTTCTACACTCGAGCAGGCTTATGAAATTTTGCTCTACGCTCGAGCGGGCATTCGGGCGCTCGAGTGAGGTCTCTGTCTGCAAAAATACTAGAGAAGCGTATTTTACGCTTGAGCACAG